TAAGCGGAACGAGTAATTACAATTTTGTCAGAACTGATCATGATTACATCTTTATCACAGTCTATGAACACTGATCAAAATAAAAGGGCGGTTCTCCGTTTGAATTTCAAGGGGCAGAAGAGTCATGACGTCAATTGAGCCGGGCCAGAAACACTGAGAGCCTGCCACGTGTACGTCACGAATCAAGTCATCCTGATCAGTTATTACTGAGCCTATTGCTACCCGAGCTGAAAGTTCAGGGCGGTTGATCAATCAATACATTGAGCGAAGCCCTTATGCGCATCAAGAAAAAAAAGCATGCAGTGAGCAACGCCAGAGCGGTGAGAACAAGTACTGCCACGTGTCCCTAGGTACTGCCACGTGTCCCTGTCCGGAACAAATTTCAGCACGCCTTGAGAAGGTCAATAAAGTTCAGCAAAAGAGAAGGACGACAAAACCGGTACTAAAGCACTCTCTTCAAAGGCAGGTGCCAGTCATCTGCCAGACCCATTCGAAGCCTGTCCTCACCTCGGCTTCTGCACCTGGTGGAAGACTTTGACTTTGGCCATGAGCTCGAGGGTGCCGGTGCCGAGACGGTTCCGCTTGTCGTTTTGCATCCATCCCATCATGCTAAAGACTCGCTCGATGTCTCCAGCATGTGGGACGATGTCGGCGATGATGAGGGCGAGGGCCGCCAGGGTGTTGTACTGCTTGTTGCGCACGGTCTGCCACCATAGGCGAAGGTCGAATGTTTCTGGGGCAATGACGAGCCCAAAAGGACCCTCCCCTGCCTTGTACATCACCATCTCGTGCATCAGCTGCTTGACTTCGGCGGGGCTATGGCCGTAGTTCTTCCAGAGCTCTACTGCCTGCAAAGAGAAGACAATGGAAACATGAAATCGCAATCCGGAATCTTGTGAGCAACTTCACAAAAGGGAAAGGTAGTGCGCAGTTGGCAAGTTTGATTTCTGCAAACAGCCCTGCCTACAATGCTGTGATTTACAAGGGCAATCACGGCAATTCCGATTGGTCCATGACAGTCAAGGAGGTTATCAAAACAACCTCCAATACAAGACGCGCTTCCCGAAAGCGGAGCAGAGTGGTGAGTTAAAGATATATGTGGCAGGGATCTGTTCATCAAACAGTTTGTGATTCAGCTCGATTCTCAATCTTGCCACAATAGAGACTCCTTGACCTGAGCTCTGGAAGAGCGTCTAAGGTGGCCAAATTGTTCGAGTCAGCTACTAAAAAGCAAAAATCAGTGGCTGAATGAGCTCACCGTTGTACTAATTGTCAAGAATTGAGACCTCTGGTCAGCAGCCGCCTTGTAGTAGGGATGGAGGAAGAGCGCTAGGTGTAGAATTGGGTGATCCATCTCCTTGAAACGCTTGTTGAAAGTAAGAACACAATGGTTCTTAAAATCGAGAGGTAGGAGCTCGTTTGCCTGTACCTTCTTAACCTGCTGTCCTAGATAGAGAAAGTAGCGTGCGACGTCTGCTATTGTGGCGTTACGTGACTGGATGGCAGTGATGACCTGGCTATATGGTTCTAGAAGGTTGCAGAGGGCCTCAAGCTTGGGCCAAAGGAGCCGGTCTTGGATGATGGTTTTAGGATTTGAAGTGCCGTTGCGAGGTGCGGTGAAGACCTCAGGGTGTTGCTGGACGACAGCCTGGAGTGCCCTCTCGTTTTCAACGACTGACTGGAGGCAGTTGTGAACGGAAGTGAAACGGGTCTTATTGGAAGTTTGCAATCCCCTAGAGATACCTAAAGCTTTAGCGAGCTTGTTGAGAAGAGCAAGGCAGCGGTGGCTGGCGCGGAAATGGGTGACGACGCGCTGGGCGTCAGAGATGAGAGGGGCTGCCCACTGGTGGCCTAAAATGGAGCCGATGAACAGTGCAAACGCGTGCATGAAACACCTACAGACAAGGAAGAGTTGGGTCTCGAAACACTGGATAGCCCGCAGCAGAGAATCCTCTCACCGATTCAAAAGGCTTTTGCACTGTAGTCACGTGCCTGGGTCCTTTGACCAGAATATCAAGCTGAGCAAGCAAGCAAATCTGCTGATCAATATGCAAAGAACGACGCAGCTTCAACGAATACTTAGAATGGAAACCCATGCAGAAAGTCGTAAACCAAAAGGAGACCACCAGTTAGAGTTGTACCTTAAGCTGATCATATGTCTGGCCTGTGGGTGGCGTAGAACCAGAGCGCGCATCTTCACCATGTTGGCCGCGTTGTCCGTGACGAGGGCGATAAACTTGTCAAAACCCCATTGCGCGATATGGAACAATGCCCTTTCTGCATGTTGTGATAGGCAATCAGATGAAGCCAGCAGGAATGCGCTTGATCAAAGTTGCGAATGCCAAGCTGACAAGTTTGAGTTTGTGCTTAGTGCATTTGCACGAGGTGAAGAACAAGGCAATGAATAGATCCACGCAACCCTCTTGTCCCTTACCAGCGAGAAACTCAGATGTGTGCTTGTCTTCAAAGTAGTCTTCTATCTTGAGCACGCGCGCCTGCCTGTCCGGGAATGTGGCGGTGTAACCATAGACGGATTTTTTCTGTGCATCAGTCCAGCCGTCGAGAGTCAGGGTCACATGCTTCTTCGTTTCAAATCCTGGCGCACTGCTAACTCCACTCTCGCAGCCTCTTGCAGCAGCAAGGATGTTCGCAGTGCATAGTCGCCTGCAGAAGGATGGAGTTGCACACGTTTATGAGTCAGCTACAACTGAGTGAACAAAAGAACTTGACTAAACGACCATGGATTACAACCCAGCTCTCCATCTTGTCTCAGTACACCCTTGTGCGCAACACATGGAACCGACCAGGTCCAGTAACTTCTGGAAGAGTGCTCACCAAAGACTATGATGAAAGAAAGCACGCCAACAGGGCAATCTGCTTCTCTGGATACAGTCTCAACAGAGGATACGGATAAACCTCCTGGCCCATCCAAGGCACACTGAAGGATAATCAATATTCGTACTTGTCTATCCAAGGATGCTTGCCTCTATACTACCACCCCTCAAATGATGACCAAGTTCAGCTGTTTGAGGAGGACATACCTGCTGGATTGTAGTTAGGCCTCAGAGCATGGACAAAGTCCAGGAACCAAGGACTGCTGGCCACCATGAACGGGATGCCGCACATGACAAATAGCAGCAGCAGCTTCAGGTCCAAGGCCTTCTTCTGAGCTGCCGTCACCTTCGAGGTGTCGACGTGATAGTTGATCCTTTGCTGGACCCCAGTGCTGCCCTTCTGCTTCTTAGCTGGATTCTCGTCTGCTGCGTCAGCCTTTGCACCCAGTTTCTCCAGCATTTTCATCCTCTCTTCGGTGGGTGCTTTGCCGCACTCGTTCGCAATGTGGATAACCATCTGCTCCACCCGGCCGGTGGACTCTTTGTTACAGTGGTTGCACCTCACCACATGGCGCTTCGAAGCATCTGGCCCTGAGATCTTCTCAAAGTGCTCCCACACTTCGCCTTTGGGCCGCCCCGGCCTCTTCTTTAAGAAGCTGGTCATAGTAGACTGCTGGCTGGCCCCAGATACACCAGCAGTAGCAGCACCCGCGCCATCAGAGCCAGGAGACGCCATGGTGAGCAGCTCAGACCTCAGCTCGCAGCTGCAAAGAACTGAGACATTTGTTGTAGAGTGCAAGCTTGGCAAGATCATGGACGATGAATCACAGTTAGGCTACCTAGACTCATCAGAGTTGCAGTGCCATCATGGGCCCATGGCTGCCAACACCCGGCAACTTGTGTTATTTGGCGCGAATGACAGTGCCACCTCAGTCATCACGTCTGAGGGTTGTGCAACGTCGATTGGATAGGTCTGTGCATTCTTGACGTTGATTCTTTGCGGTTGCGGACACATGGCTCATAATTGCGAATCACCTTCCCCCATCTGGTCCACATGGTACGAGGTTCTTGAACCAATGAGCAGTCTCCAAAATGCAAGCGGCGCGCCGCGCGCCCAGCGGCGCGCCCCGCGCGGGCGTGCGTACCTCTTGCGCGGCCGCGCGCGGCCGCGGCTAATTTCGCCAGGCTGGCGAAATTGACCAGAATGCGCAAATGTGCGCAAACTTTAATGCGCAAACCTAATTGGCGAAATCAATTAGGTTTCGCCACGAACACTGGTACTTACAACTACTACCGCGGCCCGCCGTGCACTGTGCACTTCCGCACTGCTCAGTCGCTGGCCCGGCTGCATGTCAGAATTTCTGACATCGTCATTACTAGCCGTCCGATGAGTTTTGAAGTCAGGATCGAGCCGTCCATTGTACCCAGTGTCGATCTTGAGACTACTATCAGGATTCAGGATTCAGGATTCAGGAATCAGGAGCTCAGCCTCATGGCGGATCGAGGGGCCGCCCCCTGACGCCGACGGGCCGAGTCGCTGAGGCTGAATCGCAGCGGCAGCTAGCTAGCGGACCTGTATATCAATGTCATGCCCAGAAGGCCAAAGGCCGCCATGGTACCGCTGCATTGCGGAATCAAAGAAAGTTAAACACACACACGCAAAGGTATGGCATTCGGCAAACTTCGTAGCACAGGTGTTGAAATCCAACTGCAGCAGCTCTTTGTGAAGAACCCTGCGGGAACCTTGCATTCCCTCATTGAGCTGGCCTGACGTGCACCGATAGCAACATTGGGGCCAGCAGATTGGCAAGTGTAGCCATATAGGAGCATGGCGTCGTGGAGGCCTGTGGGGTGGGACCAGGCACAAGGAGCAGGGGCCTCTGGTCTTTCTAGGTCTCAGAATGAAGCAAACGGCGCACTTCCGTACCACTACAGGCAGGGCAGCCTGGGGAGCTGGGAGCAGACGCATGCTGGCATTGGAGCAGGCACAGGTGAGCGGACCATGACACAAACTTTTGCATTGCTGCTGCCAGGGGCAAAGCTCCTTTTAAGATCTCCTAACATGAGCTGCGTCGAACTGCACAGGTGCAGCTCTGGGTCCCAGAGGCAAGGCAGGCTGCTCTTACATTATTCTCATGTTGCAGCCACGCAATCTCTTTATGGCTTGACAGGCGCAGTTGGGTCATCAGGATCTGTTGATTTGAGATCTGGGATGCACCAGTCGCTAGCTTGACAGTTCGTCAACCGCGTGCAGTTTCTGCATCACCTTACCACCTGGGGCAGCCACCACTTTCCTGGCAAGCCCCACCCGCTTTCTACCCTCCTGGGGGCGCCATTCACGAGCCAGTCCCCAGCCACGCGCCCCAGTACACTGTGCAGCATCCGTCAATGGTCCACCCCGCCAGCCAGCTGGCAGCCCCCCCACTGCAACAACCGGGTGGTCCGCCTGCGTATGGGCAGACCAGGAGGCCATCCCCGGCATGTCCCCACCGGTCGCCTCCCTCCAGCACCGCACTTGCTCCGCGCTCAGTGCCCAACACGATAGCGGCACAGCAGAAAGGTATGTGCCTGTAGCCCCCACTAGATCCTGCGATGTAAGCCCCTGATAAAAGGCCCAATGACCTGATCAAATCTGCAAAAGTTGACGTGAGAAGCTGAAAGTGCAAACGATGAAACAGGGCATGGTGTCGGCACATCCAATTTGTTTAGTATGTGATGGGACAGTTGGGTTCGCGCGAGTCGTGGAGTAAAGCCAGTCATTTCACCTGGCCGCATGCTTGCTGCACCCTCACTCACGATATGAATAGATAACGCCTCAATAAAGTAATTGTAAAGCGCACCAGATGGCAAGCCAAACACCAGAAGATGCATCCTCAACCTTTCTTCTCCGCTGCAAAGACAATTGTCAATCCAAGGCATGGCTCCCCTGCTGTGCAGGCGTGCTGGTCAGCCCGGTGGCTTACCGGGCGGGGGGTGCCATTGCCCCCCTGGTCAAGAACGCCATCAGCCTGCTCAACGAGGCCTGCCAGAAGCTCAAGCTGGCCGCCCCCGCCTACTCCTTCTCAACGGACCAAGTAACTGCCCGCCACACCGCCACCCTCATTGTCTGTGGCCAGACGTTCACGCAAACAGGCCCCTCCAAGCCAGCGGCCAAGAATGCGGTAGCCGAGGCTGCGCTGAACGGCGTTCCGGGACTGCGCAATTGGGTCCCGGTTGCTCAGGGCGGGCCGCCAGCCGCGGCAGTGGCGGGCGCTGCGCCCAAAGATCCCATGAGCGCCCTCAACGAGCTGTGCCAGAAGCGTGGGGTGCATGCTGTCTTCAGCTTCTCGGAGGACGCGGGCGACCGCTGGGTGGGGCCCACGCACACGGCCAGCCTGGCCATCGCAGGGCGCTTCTTTGTGGCGGGCGCCCCACGCAAGGACGTTGCCAAGAAGCTGGCGGCGCGCGCAGCCCTCGAGAGCCTGCAAGGACCTGACGCACAGCCCGCCCAACAGCGACCCCAAGTGGCGGGCAAGCCAGCCCAGAGCGCAGCGCCAGCAGTGACGGCACAGGAAATAGCGGCGCTGGCGCAGATGCTCCCAGGGGTGGGCCCCGCCACTGCAGGCAGCGCAACGCAACCGCAGCAGGCAGGAAGGACCCCTCCTGTTACCAGCAGCGCAGGAGAGGGGGCCCAGAACAAAGAGGGGCCCCCAGAAGGCCCTTCTGCCGCCAGGGTCGAGTTGGCCCTGACTGACGGTTCTCAGTCCAGAGAATCTGGGACCGCGCCAGCTGCGCCGCAAGCCAGTCACTTGGTAGAACCTGCAACCAGCCCCGGCCCAGCATTGGGCAAGCGGGTGTATGCTTCGGTGGCGGGCACCGAGAAGGACCCGGTGAGCCTGCTCAACGAGTACACCATGCGCCGAGGGGCACACTTCGAGATCGTGGTCCGGCGGCTGCCGACAGTCACGCCCGCGTTCGTGGCCGAGTTTGCGGTGGACGGCCGCACGTTCACTGCGGAGGGCCTGAGCAAGGGGGAGGCCAAGAAAGGGGTGGCGGACGCAGTGCTGCAGCACCTGGAGGCACAGCGGCCGGGGACACTGGAGGAGCTCACGCGGGGGAAGGCCAAGAAGGCGCGGAAGGAAACAGCACAGGCGGAGCCGTCGCCCGCAGTTCAGGGCGAGGGGCCCAAGAAGCTAGAGAGGGAGCGGGCAGACAAGAAGAGGAAGTTGGGAGGCCGCGACTCCCAGCAGGATGATGGGAAGACGGAGGGAGCGGGGAGCAATGCGTTCGCTTACAAGTTGGCGAAGGTGGCGTGCCGTAAGTACCGGCAGCTGCCGGCAAGCAGCAGCGCGCAGCCTGGGAAGAAGGTGAGCGCAGCCGGCCACTCCGAGGGGGAAACAGACTCGGGCAGTTGCGAGTCTGGAGGGCGGGACGTTCTGCGGTTGAGCAGATTATGGATCTAAACTGAGAAAGATCATGCTATGTCCGCCCGTAGATCATCACCTTGTCCTTGTGCGTACGTCCAGTCCGGCCAATTCATGTGGGGTACACAACGCCACCCCTTTCTTCTTCAGCGTAGTTTCTCACTGCTGTGTCTCCGCAGGTTCTGGCGGCCATCATCCTGGAGCTGCCATCCCCCGCCGGCGAGCCTGCGCTGCGCTGCGTGGCCCTGGGCACGGGCAGCCACTCCGCCCCGCAGCTGGCCCGCGACGACGCCTCCCTGCGCGACTGCCGCGCAGAGGTGCTGGCCGTGCGCGCGTTCCGGCGCTTCTTGTGCACGCAGCTGGAGCGAGAGCTGCACGAGGAGAGGCGACGAGGAAGGACGGCGTTGGAGACGGTCAACCCGGACCCCGTCGAGGAATCAGACGCTGCTGCAAACGGCGGAGATGCAGCTGCCGAGGCAGGCCCCGCAGTGGCGGCGGAAGGCGGGGGGGGTGCGATGGAGGCAGTGGGCGAGGCAGCCCGGGACAGCGTCAAGAGCGACGAGGAGGAGAGCGGCAGCGCGAAGGAGGAGCCGCTGGACGACGTGCGGGGAGGGAAGAAAGCCAAGGTCGAGATGACGGAGGGCGTGAGCGACGACCAGCCGGCAGAGGCTACCCCGGATGCCTGGGCTCTGGGCCTGGAGAGCGGGGGACCAGGGGCGGATACGCCAGAGCCGGTCCCAGAACCTGGGGCAGAGGCAGAAGCGGTTCGTCTAGATAACCCTGCGGAAGCAAACGGGCAGGTGGCTGGCACAGAGACCGGGGCTGCGGAGGAGGACTCCGTAGTCTGCCGCGATGAGAGCGGGGGCCGGTGGCGGCTGCGGGACGGCGTCAAGGTGCACCTCTGGGTGTCACGGCCGCGGGCGCAGCAGGCGCACAACGGAGCAGTGGAAGATATGGAAAGGGAGACGCGGCAAGTCAAGGTACGGGGCGGAGGACGGGCTGCGGCAAAAGAGGGGATGGCATCTTTTCCAATGATCGTTGGATAGGAGCATTCTTGATTGTCTGATTGCTCAAACGGCAACTTTGAAGGAATCCGACTGTGCTTCTGATGTAGGTTTCGTGTGGTAGGTCGAAGGGCCGCGAAGATCCGGTATTCGGCTCCTCAGTTTCGACCAGACGCCAGGATTGCCAGGCTAGCAACAGCGCTGGGCGCCTTTTACCCCCACCCTATTTGGTTGTCGCCTAGTATCCGCACGTGCCTCGCCCTCTGCGTTTGCCTCACACGTCTCGGCGCCTCCTGCTGCTTCCCATGCTCGCCTCTTCGTCCTCCCGCAGGTGCTGCGCTGGACCGTGGTGGGCGTGCAGGGCGGCCTGCTCGCGCACCTGCTGCCGCCCGTCTACCTCACCTCCGTTACGGTCAACGCGGACGCGGAGCTGTACCGGAATGCCGGCGCGCTGGCCGGCCTGGCGGAACGCCTGCCGGAGCCGTTCACGGTGAGGCAGCCCCAGGTGGCACAGGCCTTCTCGTGCGTCTCGGGGACGTTCCGCGTCGAGACGGGCGCCCCGATGACGGAGTGCGGCGAGAGCTGGGCAGAGGGGGACGAGGGGCTGGAGAGAGTGCGCTCCGAGGACGGCAGGCTGGATGCCCCGCCGGGGGGGGAGTCGCGGCTGTCGCGGCGGCGCATGTTCGAGCAGGTGCGGCAGTTGGGAGATGCCGGCGCGGGGGTCGAGAGTGCCGCTGTTACCGCCGAGCGAGACGAGCAGCCGCCAGCCGCACGCGCATTTGAGAGCGTGGAGACCGCAAAGAGAGCGGCGGTGCAGTACCGGGCAGCCAAGGAGGTGCTGGCGGGGTTCCTGGATGAGCGGAGGCGGGCAGAGACGGGTGCCAGCGTGGAACGGGAGAGCGTAGCGAAACCAGACTTGGCGACTTGAGTACGTCAAAAGGCCTCATTGGGCCAGTCCGACAGTACCGCCTTTCTTTCCGAATTGTTGCTTGCTGCTTCTGGTAAGATTTTGTTAGCGCGCTTTACAACCTCCATTATCTTACAAGCCTTGACACCTAAGTGATTTTTTGCATTACCTTTACACGGGACGAAAGTCAAGGATGAGTCAATGTCAGATTAGGGGATCGAATGCTTACGTCAAATGAGACACTTTTCAAAGGGACTCCAGGAAACAAACTTGGAGCTTATAGTGCAGGTCCAGGATGCATATGCCTATGTTCTTACTGTAAGTGGCTTCAAGAATTACAGCATTCATTTCAGGATTGGGAAACTTTAATGGTCGGACGAATTAAAACGAACGACTGCATGGTAAAAATGGCAAGCAGCTCGCAGTCGCGCTCTGATTCTTTAGAATCTACATCTAGGTAGTACATGGCAGAGAGAGATTGCTATCAATCTGCCTCATCCGGTCGACTCAATCGTTCAACATTGGTGGGCGGCTAGGTTTACATGGTAATGTATAAGCTCTGTAGGTTGAATGGCGTGCCCAACATTATGCGCGCAGTGTATGCCGTGCACAAGATTGAAGCTCTCTTATACACAGCATACAACCAGCCGGCCGTGTGCAATGATGTACCGTCGGACTTGTCTTTTGCATGCAATCATTGGGCCAGTTCTCAATCATTGGGTCGAACTGGTATTGCAATGTGCATCTTAGTAAACCATTAGTATACGGGTCACGCCCACATGTGCACGCGACAAGCCCGGCGACTAGGCATATTTCCCGCGCCTCAGGTTAACATACATCAGTACATGTGCACGTACATCAATGATTGACTGCAGCCGATAGGATGTGCCTTCATGTCGAGAAAGACTAGATACGTACTGCGAATTTGCATGCTCAAATTTTGTGTTTTGATATGCCTGCCCGAATCATATGTACTCCGAGTCTGCACTATTGCTTCCTGGCAATTGTATTTGCATGTGATGCGTGCGCACATGTGCATAACAACTTATCATATCACTTGAGTGAGTACCCGCAGTCGAGATTGAATATATCTCAAGCTGTCGATGCAGTCCTCCCAAAGGCACTTGCCGTCGGGATAGGTACAATTTAAGTGTGTGCTTTGACGTCACAACTTGTTCGACAGGATCAATAATCTTCTTGTAGCATTTCTTGCTGTCCACTGTGAGACCATAAAACCCTGCAATGACGCATATGGCGAATCTTCGTACTTCTACACTTTGGCTTGCGCCCGCGTCCCCCTTAACAAGGCTCAATGTACGCTAGACTCCCTCATCTCTAGTCTCCACAACTAAGGAGTATACACAAAACCGCTCCATAACCTTTTGCAACTTCTGTACTTGAAGAGTTTTCCTAACGTAGCCCCAGCGGATCTTCCCGGTAGTCGATCCAATCCGAATTTCGGAGCTAGAAGGTCAGCCGCACGTATGCACGCTGTGCAATGCCAAACCTTTCCGTAAGCATCAAACCTATTTCGAAATGTAAACACTGACTCTAGTTCGTGGCAAACACAAAGTTTTAGTGATAAAGCACGCCAAACACAACACCACAACTCGCTCTACACATAAATATAGCACAAGTCTACTCTACTGTTCCGTCGGGAAGGGCAACCTGTGACTGGAGGTCTCAAGTAACCGCACCCCCCCGGTCCTTCGTTTGGCCGTGTTACCGGGGCACCGCCTCCATGATGATCCCCCCCGGGAAGTTCATGGTGATGTCGTACGAGAAGGGCAGCTGCTCCCCGCGTGGCCGGACTGCCCGGAAGTGGAAGGCCTGCACCAGCGTGGCCACCACCTGCGTCACGCTCATCATCGCGAAGTTGGCGCCCAGGCACATGCGCGGGCCCGCGCCAAACTGCACCCACGCAAACTTGTGCCGTGCCGCCTCCGCCTCGGGGGAGAAGCGGTCCTGCAAACCACGACGGGCAGACAATCAGATGGAAGGAAGCGCAGGCTTCGCCCATGGGTTCGGTTCAGAAACTTTGCTCTCACATGAGATTGTTGGCCAACGTGGTGATAGACCGTAGTCCGACCATGATTCAACGAGGATGCTAAACAAGTTGTCAGTTTGCCCAAACGAGATGACCGAACCTCCAGCAAGGTCGCTTTGAGATCGGCAGTTGGCTGTCTGTCGGGTGCCTCACCGGGTTGAAGGTCTCCGGATCCTCCCAGACGGCTGCATTGCGCCCCATGGCGTACGTGGACATGAACACCACCTGCCACGGCCAGCCGAGGGGGGTCAGGCACGGCCGTGGCAGTAGGACCAGGGCACTCTCTCCCCCAAAGCCAACAGCATCGCATCACGACCATCTCCCAAGCATTCGAATGTCTTCAATTCGAGAGATTGCCAAATGCGGAGGGGCTCAAGGGGCTCCACAGCACATCCTTGGAGTGGTGCTTCCCATCGAAGCCGCAGCATGCTGCGGGGCAGGTGGCGGCTGCTCACGTCGCCTGCGGGGATTTTGTGGCCGGTGGGCAGCACGTCGTCGCGCTCGACCTCGCGCGGGAAGAGCGGGATGGAGGGGTACAGCCGCAGCACCTCCTTGACCACCTGCCCCGTGTACTGCAGCCGCGGCAGGTCGTCGTACAGCGGGGGGCGCCCGCCCAGCACCGCCCGCAGCTCCGCCACCACCTGCGGGGCCGCGCCCAGTGAAAAAAGGCAAGGGGAACGGACGCCCGAGCCGTTCCGTGTCCAGATGGTCAGAGAACGGGTGCAGGGCTGCGTCTGTGTCCAAGCCGAGAGTGTTTACATGGCCATTTGACAGAGCGACTTAGACTCGGTTTTTCCTGACATGATGGCCCACCGATGGAATGAATCTGCCCATCAGCTGTGACTCGATTATTCGCCAGGACGCTTTGATGAGCCTACGTGCATTGCAGACCACAACAGCGACCTCGTCCCACTTGACGCGCCGCCCCACCTTGTCCTCCACTCCCGGCGTCTGGCTGATGCAGTACAGCGCGGCGGTGGTGGTGCTGGCCGTCGTCTCGTGCCCCGCGCCCATGATGTCGTGCACGTCCTCCCACAGCTCCTCGTCGCTCAGGCGCCGCCCCGTCTCGTCCTGCGCCTGCAGCAGCACCCCCAGCAGGTCGTCCCCCGCCTCACCCGTCGCACCCCACGCCTCGCGCCGCTCCTGCACGCAGCCAGCCAGTCAGCAACAGCGGACCAGGGCGCCCGCGTTGAAAGACAGAAACAAGGGACTGTCAGCTTCAGACTCTCCAATGACTCAGCATCTTAGCCAGTGAACTGAATCTCATGTAGGAATACGCAGGACGCATGTAGGCGGACTGACATCCGACTACTTCTTGTTTGTGAATCGATAGATAAGTTGAGACAAGAATCCTCTTGCCCATCAAGTAAAGAGTATGCCAATACTTCAGTAAGTAGAGGTAAGCAAGACAGTTGCGGCAGCTACACAAGCCAAGTCCAGATCCTGGGAAGGAGCCCTGTCGCAGTTGGGGCGGCGCTGACCTGGACGACCTTGGTCATGATGGTGCGCATCTCGTCGAAGGCGCGGTCCATGCGCGCCATGCCTGGCTCGCGCGCCCACTGCAGCAGCTGCAGGACGGGGAGCGGCGTGATGAACACGTTGCCCATGCACTCCTGCGACACGTTCACCGCGTGCAGCAGCCGGTCGCGGCTCATGTCGTCCCCGCTCGCAGTGCCTGCGCACAGGGGGACAAAGGCAATCTGACAAGTAGGCCCCACCCATTACGTGGCATCTCCTGCTCAGATCATTATCTGTGTTCACCAAATCTTCGCCCCATTTTGGATTTTACATGCGTTTAGCAATCTTCAGACCCCCCCCATTTACCCAAATGAAATCCGGCAAGTACGCTTTTCGAGTTTACAGTTCATCATATTCAGGTTTCACGGGAAACCTCCAAGATTTAGCGTCTCACAGTGCCACTTCACACAGACCCCAGGCTATGTACCATGGTTGCCTAAGGCGGTCGCCAGCGCTGGCGCCAAGGGCACTGGCCAAGGAGAGACAGCCGGCCGTGCTCCCACCTGCCACGTCCTGCGTGATGCGCGCAATCTGGCCAAAGTCCTTGCTGAAGGCCACCTCCCCCACAATGTCCAGCGTGAGCCGCTGCATGTGCGTCGCCATGTCCCCCACCACGGGGCCACCCTCCGACAGCGCACGCAGTGCCCCCACCACAGCCGCAGCCTGCACCGGCCAGGTTCCAGGTCAGAGTCCCATTAGTCGCCTTATGCTGGATTGACTGGTTGTTGAATGTTGATCGAGTGCGTAGGTCGACTGAAAGAGCTCGGTTGGACCTCTTGTCTTGCCTAGACTCACACCGTGTTGCGATGCATGTTAAACATTGGGTAAGTTGGGTCTGTTTGACAAACTTGCTGGTGCTACGATCCTTCCTGTCCACAGCGTGCCTGCAGCCTGGTTCCCGTATGGGCCTGGCCCGCGGGGCTGCTTGTGCGCACCTTGTTTGCCACGGTATTGGTGAACTTGCGCAGCTGCAGCGACGTCTTGAAGGGGGGCGCGCACATCTTGCGGTGCTGCAAATTGTAGGCGCCCTGGCTGCCGAGGATGCCCTTGCCGTGCGTTACGTACTCGTAGATGGCCTGCCACCAAGGGAGCAGCGGGGTCAGGTCAAACGCGCTGCATGAGTTAGTTCAACAGGGTCCTGCTAATCCTAGCCTTGCCTTGGAACGTCATGTGAAGGAAGTGTTGGATACTCTACAACCCATGGTTCTGAAATACAATTCAGCATTGCCTCGTCTTACATTGAGAAGACCTTTGCAGGACTGCGCCCACTACACAAGTGGACTCTGACCACAAAAGCATACTTCACCTGTGCCTGGGAGTGAGGATGAGAGGGCGCTCTTTGTTTCTGCAGTCATTATTGGACGAGCGCCCTGCCAACTTGAGCCTGCCGAGCGGGACAATAAAAAGGGCGCAAGCAAGTAGGGACGCATGTGAGGCAGTGGCAGACTCACCGGTAGATACCTCCTGGAATAATTCTTAGCATTCGCTACACAAATGTGTTGTACAATGGCTGGATCGTTGACAAACGTCCAGGCAGTGAGTCCGTTGGAGAAGCTGCACCGCGTGGGGGAAGTCCAGTCAGTGTGCGCGGACACGGCAGCAGAGCGGAGGCACCCAGGGTCAGCGCCCTCAGTCCCTGGTGCCCCTTTTGGTGGAAGGCAGATCTAGCACGAATTGCACAAGAAACAGCTTCGTTCAATCAACCACAGATTGCCATCTTCTCCCAGTCCCACACGCCCACGTCCTGCACATCCTGCGGCCACAGTTGCCGTGCCCGGCGAGCTGCTCACCGGCACAGCGGGCCGTACTTGCGCGAGTAGTGCAAGACAGCCTCCTCAATTCCGTAGCGTGCGATGTAGCTGAGGTCCACGATGTTCTCAAACAAGTTCCACGGCCGCGGCCCGGGAATCCCCCGGTCCTGCTCCACCATGGCGCGCACATCCCGCGTCGCTGCCGCCGGGGCGTCCAACCCCTTCTGACTCCATTCCCTGTCTCCCTCTAACTTCCCTAGACTAGCCGCCTTGAATACAGTAGTGGGCTCAAACCCAGGCACAGAAGCACCGCTTGTACCGCTGTGGAAAGGACAGCCCCCGCCTAAAGAGTGCACTGCGGCGGACGCGTGAGGGTCACTCCGAGGGTCGTACTGGCACCGGAGGGGAGCTCGAAAGCCTGCTTGCTTCCGTGCAGGCCATTTTTGCAAGGGTTTCAGGGTGGGGGCACCCAGTGCGCGGTGGGCAGTAGCTGGGCCGGTGCCAGGGAGGGTTCCGTGGGGGGTAGCAAGGCCGGGGCACAGCGCACATGTGTCCACCATGCTGGCCCCAAGGAATGAGAATGCAGCTGCCCTCGGGAAGCGATGGCACCAGGAACACGGCTTCAGCGCTGCGTCTCCAGAGCAGGGGTACTCAAGGAGAGCCCGGAAATCTATGTACAATGCAGCAAACTATGATTCCACGAAATAGAAATTGTGCAGTTTCCTGTGTAGGAAAACATGTGACGGGTCTTCAGCTCACTCCGCTCGGTTAAGAGGCAGTAAGGGCAGTCTCTGGACAATGCCCAGTGCAATCACGATTCTCTATGAAGCAGTTGGACGGCAGTGTGGGCTTAGACTGAGGCCACCCCACATTGTTGCTACCAACTAACTCCAAGCTCCAGCAGGGGGCGGCCTCACAGTCACGTCATAGTTCAGGCAGCTTCGCTCCTTTGAATGCCCCCTGCGGCTCACCCGTTGAGAGATGCGCACCACCGAACTAAGATTGCTGTCCTTCACAGCCAACAGCCACTGCCGCCAGGATGGCCAAATTAGGACTTTTTAGGATGGATGCATTCAGGTTGGATGATGGCTACGGCCATTGGCATTGCCAATTGGCAATTTGGCATAGGTATCCTAGGTATCATGGGCCAAGGCAATTGCAGAGTGCGCAGACTAGGCGCCATTATCCATTTTCTCCAGATATTTTCATGCTACGCCAATCAGAGGCCGCTTATTGGCCTCCGTGCGATACGATGTCCGTGGGTACGGTATACCGTATGTGGGCAGGCACGCAAGAGGCACAAAGCAGCCGAACTCTTCTTCATGAAAAACGGACGCGGACATCGTACGAATCAATCACCGGGTACCTTTTACAGCTACCGGGGAGCCGTTTCAACACTAAAACCCTAAGAATATGCCTTAGCCGTTAGTGTTAACCCTAATCGTAGTGCAGTCACAGTTAGCCTGCGCGACCCTAACAAACCGTCACAGGCTTGCAACATAACCCTAATGTCACAGGCGATGCCCGGCTGCTCGTCGGCTGTTCAAAGGTCCGAACCCTGACAACCTGCGCAGCGTCCGCAATTTTTTTCCGAAGAAAAGTTCGGCTGCTTTGTCCGTTTTGCGGCACTGAGCTTTCGGCGTACGGTAGGTATACCGGTAGCCGTGCGATGAGCTTACTGCCTCGCCCAGTTAGGCCAGCGAGCCTTTTCTCGCTCTAGTTTATGCAGGTACACGTGTCATCCAAAGGCCTTTGCCAGATGGCAGCTGATCAACAATGGCTCACCACGTGGAAACATGCCATAGGTCAATGATCAAACATGTTAGTGGCCAGTATGGCAGTTTGAAGCGAATCAATCATTCTAGGTACCTATCATGCGAAGACAGGCTCAAGCAACAGCTTCAACTGCGAAGACCTGTCCGAGCAGCAGTGCAGCTCTTCCAGTTTCCTTGCGCGCGTCGGGGTCTTCAGGAGGCGCCAGGGATGGGCATGGATTAGTCTGTCAACCCATTTCAGGAGCCGCCTGCATGGCGCCTCCGAATCCGCTTCCCGTGATCCTGACAGTGGGCAAGGTAGCGGTTGGCCTCTGGGGAGCTGCCACGGTCTTGAATGCCTTAGCATACAAGCAGTTCATTGCAAGGAAGGACTTTGCTCCGCTCGATGACCCCTTTGAGGATCCGGGCGACCCGGACACAGTGTTGGCGCAGTTTGCAGTAGACAAGCCGATTGCCTCAGATGGTGAGTTGACCTTGTCTGATTCAACAGCATTGCGAACGGCCTGTCTATGCAGTCATACGCAGGCATGTCTGGGGACAGTGCCGCTGCAGTGCACACTGCTTGCCTCTTCTCTACAGTTAGTGAATGCGTTCTTCAGATGGCAGACATGGTCGACTATTACAAATTCAGGTGTCTTCGCATCCAGACACTGGACATGCTCAGCATCTTTCAGCCCTTGTGTCTTCAATCAGCGAGCACTTGGCTGTAAGGAACGAGGATCTAGGCTCAGTTGCGCAGCATTTCTCCCCCTGCTATGCAGCCGTCATGCATTCAACAGGATGGAACAGGTCAGACTGAGGGGTCTGCTGGTCTTGTCACAATCGGCATCCAAAGATCCAAAGGACCCATGTTAGCATTGCTGCAGGAAACAAACTCCTACACAGTCCTCGAAGTGTATCGTACCACTCTTCTCGATGCTACTAGGAGAGGCGAGAGGTTTCTTAGGGCTTTTCTCACGAACCCTAAGAAAGTGCCAGGTTGAGAGGCTTGTCAGAAGTGCTGTGGTAATCAAGTGCCAGTGCCACACTCAGGGCTGGCCACTCTGAACAACGACGGCAGATGTGCTATAATTGGCTGCAGCGAATGAACTTTCCTCTCTGACTATGAGATTTATCAGCTTGTGTTCCCTGACCTTCTTCCGTTCTTGTCGGAAGAAGATCCGACCAATGTCAGCAATGCCTTCGGCATCCTGGACTTGCTCTAAACAAAAGCTGAGGCTACTTACCATCCACTTTTGGCTGGCTGCTCACTTGGCTGACTTGGGCACTGGAACGGCCTTGATGCAGGCAGTGGAGAGGGGTTCTTCTTTGGTCTCGCCACGGCGCCTGCCCATGTGGAGGATGAGCTGGACGATGCGTGGCTCGAGTTTGCGGAGGAGAGCGTGCCCGAGAAGGAGATGGTGCAGTACGGCACGAGCGACAACATGGAGGAGCACGGGCCGGGGGGCAGCAACATTGAGGGGGAGAGCGAGGCGCGCAGCAAGGGCTTGAGCAGCAGCGATGGCGCACACGCCACGTTGGCCAAGGAGGATGGCAATTCAAGCAAGCAGCCCAACGGGGTGGCCGCAGGTGAGGCCGCTGGCCGCTGACGACCAGGATGCAAGAGGCCATGTGAACTAGTCTGACGTAAAGCAGGGCGAATCACTTTCTGCTGGATCTTGCAAATTGTGGGCTCCCTTTCCTCCTCTCCCGGCCCCCTGTCTGCCGCAGTAGTCCTGTGGATATCCCGCAGCAGGCGGTCCTGCCACTCTCCTGTCTGCCCAGCATTGACCCCCATTGACCCCCCATTCTTCTGCGCAGAGGATAATGAGGATAACCTGCCCATTGGACAGGGCCTCAAAGGGCTGACCGCCGATGGCGAGGCTCTTGCGGTGGCGGCCTTCCACAACGTGCCCAAGCCGGAGCAGCGCCTCAAGTTCTGGTCGGAGCCAGACACCGAGCTGCAGCTGGCTGCAGGGGCCAATGTCTCCGTGTTCCGCATGGGGATTGATTGGGGCCGGATTGTCCCGGACGAGCCTGCAGAGGGGACCGCTCAAGTGGTAAGCCTGGCAGCTAGCGCTTGCCTAATTTTATCGCAGTCATGCGATTTTGTCCGTCCAGTGCTATCTTAGCTACCTGCACAGCCCTGCAGAATACGCTGGACCGTATTTTGTTAAACCAGACGTTGGATTTCTCTGACCAGGATGACACGTGCTAAACATCCTCACTGTGTGCCTTGTAACATGAGCAATGCTGTTCTGGGCCTGACAGAGGGCCTTTTGCCCTGCCTGCGCGCAGTTTGACAAGAAGGCCGTGGCGCACTACCGGTGGATCCTGCGGCGCGTGCGGCACTACAAGATGAAGGTCATGCTCACGCTCTTCCACCACTCCCTCCCCAAGTGGGCCACCAACTACGGAGGATGGACCAATCACCGCACCGTCGACTACTTTGTCGAGTTCACCCAGTGAGCCACCCGGGCCCACACCACTGCATCGAGACGTCCTGGTGCACCCCACCATTGTTGAGGCCGCTGCTTGGGATCTGCATAAAGTTTCACTCCCTTGACTGAGTCTACTTTGGCATTCAAGATTGTTAGATGTGAGTTCTCCTCCCCTTTCCCAGCCGGGCTGCACTGAGTCTGTTTCTGCGGCGTGCAGTTTGGCGGTGGAGGCGTTTGGCGACCTGGTGGACTACTGGATGACATTCAACGAGCCGCACGTGTTTGTGGGCTTGACCTACTGCGGCGCCAGCTGGCCGGGGGGCACCCCGCCCGGCGTGATTGAGACGCTGATGCTGTCCACGCCGTGGGGCCGCTTCCAGAAAGCGATGCGCTACATGGCGGAGGCGCACATCAAAGCGTACGACATCATCCACAAGGATGATGAAACCCCAGGGTGAGCAGCCGCCGCACCTGCACGCAGGGAAAAGAGGGTGTGCCTCTGCGTGTTTTAGAGGAGGTATTCCTGTGGCCATTTTTTGTTGAGCCGTAAGGTTTGGAGGGAAGAGCCGATTGGTGAGGTTTCTACAGAGGCTCAGTCTGAGGACTGCATTTATCCAGAGGCGCAACGACAGTAATATGTTCGTACTTCCAGGATGGATTTGGTTGCGCAACAGGGCACCACAATTGTACTGGTTGGGGAAGTGGTTTCTCTTTGAATCCCAGTCGTCGAACCAAAGTCAGCAACTGGTCAGAGCATCACCAGGTGGGGCATGAGCGCGCCTACTCGTCCGTTTTCTGTTGCTTCCTATGAAGCTGGCCCCCCGTGGTGACTCTTACGCGCTGTGTGCAGGGGCCCGGTGCACGCGGCGCGGGGCGCGCCGCAGGTGGGCATTGCGCACCACGTGTCGTTCATGCGGCCGTACGGGCTCAAGGACGTGGGCCCCGTGGTGGCGTCCAACGCCATGACGCGCTTCAACTGGGTGGACAAGGTCTGCCACAAGCTCGACTACATCGGGATCAACTACTACGGCCAGGTACGAGCAACAATAACCAGCTCGCTCTGGCAACAAGCATGACGACTTGGATTGGACTGAGCCACCGCCCACAAATCGCTAAAAGTGTCACAGGCCGGTGGGAAGGCGTTGGTTCTCGCAGAATCAAGTTCATTGACTTTAGGTACAGAAACATTCTTTTATGAGCTTTCTTTGAAGCATTCCTTTGCCCGGCTTGACCTTGGTGGGTTGCTGTTTGTGCAGGAGGTGCTGTCGGCCCCCGGGCTGAAGCTGGTGCCCGACATCGAGTACAGCGAGGCCGGCCGCGGCGTCTACCCCGACGGGTGAGTCTCGCCACACTGCTCGCTCGGGGGACCTTGTGTCCCCACTGTTGCAGGTCAGGTCGCCGCAGTCCGACACATGGGTGGCCAGGTTGTACGGTGTCCATATGGCATTATCTTGCTTTGAACGCTAGTTTGTGCCTGTATGTCGGGAGCGGTTGCCTCCACCGCCGCTTCCCATGCTGGGGCGGCCTCTGCTGATGCTGACGCCTGGCGGTGTGCGTGTGCGTGCAGCATGTACCGCATGCTGTTGCAGTTCCACGAGCGCTACAAGCACCTCAAGATCCGGTACATCATCGCCGAGAACGGCATCGCCGACGAGACGGACGTCATCCGGCGGCCGTACATGATCGAGCACTTGCTCGCCATCAAGGCCGCCATTCACGACGTGAGCAACCCTGTGCCGCCGGCTCACACCCCGCACAAGTGCTCAACACTCCAGCACACCAGGAGTGTCGACCCTGTTGGTAGACCAGCCCTTGGACATCGCTCCTTGTCCAGATCCTCCAATGTATCGTCAACCGATGCCTTTGGCGTCCTGCTCGGCTCTGCTGTGGTTGCGCCCCTGCGCGCCTGGGCCTGACTGCCCGCCGGGTGTGTTGCAGGGCGTGCCCATTGACGGCTACTTCCACTGGACGCTGTCGGACAACTGGGAGTGGGCCGACGGCTACGGCCCCAAGTTCGGCCTGGTGGCTGTGGACCGCGAGAACGACCTTAAGCGCACCCCGCGCCCGTCGTACCACCTGTACGGCCAGGTCAGCCAACCTACCGCCTTTTAACGCAAAAGCACAAGCGACGCTTTCTGGCCGCTGACTGCCAGTGCGTGTGGGGCCCGGGTGTTTCGTCGTTGGCTGGCCGCCGTGCCAGGCTGCTTCCTGGGCTGACTTGCGGGCGGCGCTGTGGGTGCAGATTGCCAAGACGGGCACGGTGACGCAGGGCATGCGCGAGCAGGCGTGGAATGAGCTGCTGCAGGCGGCGGACGAAGGCAAGACGCGCAAGTTCTGCCGCGAGGTCGACGGCTGGGGGCTCATGTATGCAGGTGAGGCGCACGCTGTAACGGCCTCTTAGGGAACAGGCAGGTACGGGGGAGCCTGGAGAGCAGGCAAGCGTCTGGGGTGGATGTGCTTCGACACCTGGGCGACTGAGGACGGAAGACGGGAGTCCTCAGAACTTCCGACTGCGACTCGCTGTGCAGAACCTTTGCGCCCTGCTACGCATGCTTATGCGGACAGGCGTGCAAGGCTTTCTCTCACTGTTTGTGGCAGCAGGAAACCATTTCTCTTTCCACATTCTTGAAGAAACATGCTTGTTCCAATTGGGAGCCATCAGGAAGGCTGCCAAAGCCGTCTCTACTCCCGGGCTCTCGCAGATTGTTTGGAGGATCAGTGTGTCAGCGCTTCTTGTGTCCCACCACTGATGTTGTGTCCGCGCTTCAGGTGGTTTGGACTGCCCAACGGAGCGTGCATATGTAACGCGCGATTGGCGCTTTGCACATTATGAGTACGAGGGCCTACAGGACCCAGTGTCGCGCTTCACGCGATTCTTGGGTAGCAAGCTGCCCTTCCGGCGTGCTGACCCCGCACGCCCCGCAGCCGACCTGCCAAAAAACGGGTAGCTCCACAAGCTGTCGGTAGGAGCGCCGACAGCATCCGGATAGCCGGCCGCCCAGGGCTGCACCTGCGGGTTGCTCAGCCTAGCAAGCGGCATTTGCAACAGCAAGTAGGCTATCCGACTGTGCGCGTTGCAACCTTGAGAGTTGCAATCACTTGTGGAGGGCCCTAGCGCAAAGCTCCGAACAACTCACATAGCATCGTGACTTGCCAAAAAATTGGTTTAGCATTGACTGTCATTAGCATCGAGACATGAGACTCCTAGGTTGAAGAATTATTATGCTAAAAGACGGTAGTGTGAGCCAGCTCATGTGCATTTTGGAATTGTGTTGTTGAAGGCTCTTGTACACACGTGCATCTGATTTGTGCAAAGTAGGGCCGGACCGTTTCCAACTATTTAGACCCTCTAGTGCAGCTATATTGTTGCATGCTTGCTTGATTGCACTTCAGCTGGGCAAAACCAAGGATGTGTTTCCAACAAAAAAAACGATTAAAACGGCAAGGACAACCTTCTGTGTTGCACGCATCCTCAACCGAGTCATCTACAACCCAGGAAAGATTGATCAGGTTTTGTTGACAGAAGTGTGTCCGAATTATGTTATCTCGGCATAAGCCACATACAGTGTTGGCAGAAGCTCACCGCTTGCAATCTAGCAACTAGTAGCTCGATTCCATATTTCCATCGCATGGCCGGTCGTGCCGGCTGCACATGAATGATCATAGATCCTTTTGCTCTGACGTTGCAATCATGTCAATCATGTGTCACCTTGGTCGAGATCGACTCGATTGCCCGCTTGGGGGATGGCAGCATGCATGAAAACCTTTAAGCATCATGGGGCCCCACCTAACACCAAGATGCAAACACTAAGCTTCCTTTGTAGGTGAGCTGAAGTTGTTAATGCTGAATGTAAGCTAGCCGGATAAAAATCCAGTGTGAGTAGCTATTTGTCTTGCCGAGCGGGGTCGCGAGATGACAAGATGTCTCTTCCAATCAGGCTTTTAAATGCAGGGGCTTCTCATGGCACATATACTGGTACAAGGTGTCTTTCTTCTTTTGCTAATCTAGCAGGGATCCCGCAGGGATTGAATGATCGATGAAACATGGAAGATCACAAGCGACTTAAACGCATGATCGTGGCATTTGTACGTCCTAGCATGAGTAAGATGAGAGGGAGATTGGGAGATTGGGTTTAGTGGAAGGCTCTAGCTTGAGATTTTGAGCAGCAATGGGCTGGGGGACTCGACTGCACCCAAGGCTTCAGAGTCACCGCCCTGCTTTTCGCTCATCCGGGTTTTTCGCTACTACAATCAGGATATTCCCTGGCTGAAACTTGGAGTTTCCCGATAAATCGTGGGGGCTTCGGCAATCTTTATATGAAGATCAGGTTTATCATCTGGCCGGAAAACTCATGTCGCATCATAGACATATCTGCAAGATTTGGCGGCAAAATCTGCCGGGCTGGTGCCCCGATATGATCATATTTATGATGCGCCGGTAAGGTCACGCCGCCGCCTCACGCGGTTGGCGTGCTGCGGCCTGCCCATGGGGCCCGGGGGCCGGGCATTTTAAGATTTGGTGCGGTCCCCCATACCGGTATTAGCAGTACCTTCGTTACCTCCCCTTTCTCCGGTCTCTCCCGGGTACATACCGTAGTCCAACGTGATGATTCCGAACGATTTTATTTCTTATTTACAACAATCCGACCAGGAAAGTGGAATTATTTCTGCTGATTCCGACAAGAATCCGAATGCCCTATGGTCCCACTTAGAAGGGGAGTTTTTGGTTGTTTTTGGCAGTTTTCCGGCTTCCGAGGACCATTTCAAGGTTATTTTAACTTTCCGGAATTTCACTTTCCGAATGCTAAATCCGAATTTCTGACTTTCCGAACGCAAATAATTCTTTATTTTTTCGGAATCATCACGTTGGACTACGGTACCTATACTTATGCGGCTTGAAGTTGCGGCTTGCCCTGGCCCCTACTTCCTGAGGCTACAACCGTACCCACTGGTCAGTACAGCCTTAGGTTGTAGGTACCACGCAACGGTACCTAGGTACCTAGCGCACGCGTCCCTGTCGCAATCACTTCCCAGGGCCATGGTGTCGCAATCACTGCTGCTGCCTGCAGTCACGGTGACTGCAGGTGCTCACTGATGAGGTCCGCGAAGAGTTTCTCCGCGGCCTCAGGACTCGGAGCTGTAGGCTGTGGAACTTGAAGGCGTGCGGCGCGTGGGTATCATTTTGCCAGAGAGGCGTGTGCCATCGATGCCAATGGCAGTGGATTTTAGAGGGAGAGTCCGCTGGGTGGCAGGTGTGCGTGGGATTGACCAGAAAGAATGTTGTGCGCGATCTTTGGCGTGAGGTTATCCTCTGACCTCGTCGATGTTTGAAGAGGCTGAGGGTTGGTCGGAGTGCTCTGAGCATCAATGGATGGAGGACTCGGAGATGGACAATATGCCCCCACGTCAATTATAGCACATAAGGTTCCATTGCAAAGTCGCCTCCCACAGCCAATCCAAGTTGGAGGTCTTGTTGAGCAAGTTGCAAAAAATGACAAAGAGCACCGGCCTGAGAGGTCCTTCTTGATATCATTTTCTCCTCAAACATCTCTGTCTTCGGAGAATTCCGATTTGACCCCTTTCACGTCCACGGCATCTGAGGTTGACGTGGAAGAAAGCAGTAGAGAAGATTCGCACTTTTTAGGGGGCATTACAGGGTTCGACCAGGGTCTTTCCCAGTTTGGAAGCTCTTCGTCTGCTTTTGGGACACAGCCAAAAATAGAGCATGCTTCAAAGAATTTCAACCTGCTAGATCTTAACTCAGCAATGGCAGCATCGCGTTCCTCGTCTGGGCGTATTTCTGTGCGTCAGCTCCAAGAGAAAGGGAACGAAAACTTGGAGGAGCCCTACTCGACTAGCGTTGCAACTCTGCAACTCAGGAATGGGCAGCAGACCAGTTGGAATGGACCAGATACTGGGGTTGCAAACGCAGGTGGGTAGATGGTTGCACTTCCATCGCTCCATTGAAGCAATTGCTTAACAATATCAACTTCTGGATTGTAGGACCAGGTTGCATGCACGTACTTTCAACGTGCAACTATGTAACTTATCATCAATTGCAATGGATCGGCAGGGTTTGTGCATACGGTATGTGAATGCCCAGGAATGTAGTGTTTAGTTTGTACTGGGTGGCAACGAGCGATTTGAAGGAGCTTTTCATGTGCTCACAAGGTTGTTTGACTTCTCACTTGCTGATTGGCAATCTTCTAAGTGGCGAATCCATTGTCAACCTGCATCCTCAGTGCATGCATTGGGGATAACAGCTGTGGAACATAGAGTTGTGGAAGGTTTTCTGGTATTTGAGGGTTTGCCAAGATACTTTCAAGCAGTGGTACCGGCTTGAGTAAGCGTGCTTTGATCATCTGCCTGCACCTGGTGCTCTATCCTGAGTAGATGTCCCCTATGGATCTCTTGTGGCTGAGGATTTCAAATAAATCAACTTGCACTTTAAAATGGTCTACCTGTATAAATTCTGCAGGATATCCTTATTCACGGGAGGTCAGAGTGGGCCAGCACTCAGGAGTGGACAAGTCATTTCTTGTTGAAGGAAGTGACATAGATACCACTGAGGACGGAGCGAGGCAGTGGTCAGAGCTGGCAGTGCAAGCATCAGCGCCACCAGGTGAAGAGTCAGCCTCGCGAAGATCTGCTTTAGCTGGACTGGAGAATGAGGATCCAGTGTGGGGTGTTGAACAGCGGACACGGCGGCCCTCCTCAGAATTGTCGCGGACGCCACCCCGGGCCCTGGCAGGAGGGCCCTCCGATCCAGGTGGCATGCAGCCAGCGCGGTCGCACTCTCTGTCGAAGCACAGGCGTGGGTCCAGCCAGAGCGAGGACGGGGTGGGGATGTTCAAGGTCAAGTTTCTTTGCAGTGCTGGGGGTGAGATAAAGTTCACGGATGGAAAGTTGCGGTATGTGGGGGGCGAGACGCGCATTTTCACTGTGAGCCGGGACATCACGTACTCGGAGCTCATGTTCAAGCTGACAGAATACTACAGCGAAGCACTGAGCCTCAAGTACCAGCTGCCCGACATGGACTTGGACACGCTCCTGTCGGTGTCCAACGACGAGGACCTGAATAGCATGATGGAAGAGTATGACGAGATTGAGCGGAACTCAGCAGAGGGCAAAGCGCAGCGGCTGCGGCTGTTTCTCTTCCCGGCAGAGGGCAAAGAAGGGTTGAGAGCGCCCTATGAAGATGCAGGGCCCAACTTTGAGAAGTACTTTGGGATGGAGGATGCTGTGCCGCAGGTATGGTTCAAGCAACATCAGTTACTTTTCATCCATCAAGAGAGGTTGATTGGAAAAAAAATCGCTCTGAAAGGAGTGCTTGCTGTTTCTGTCTAAGTCGAGCTTCGTGTCTCTTACGAATCTACTTGTTAGGGCTTTTCAAGGGCTTTTCTCAGTTGATTTGCATGGTCTAACTGCATTGGATGCATAGTTGAGGGTGCAGGTCTGGTCAGAACCAAGTCTGTAGGATGGATCATGTTCCAGTTACTAGTAGTTTTGCCTAGTACCCTGCTGACAGGGTACTTTGCCAATGGAGTGCAGCCTCTGCTCCTGAACACATAGATCTAACGGAGACTGGTCACTCCACTAACTTGTTTCCAAGCCTTTCTTTTTAATCAGAGTGCATTCATATCCCTTGTTACTTCCTTTCACAGTCCGTCCTTCGTACCACATATCATTTCGACGACGTGGAGCAGCGTCCTGGGACTGGCCCTCAGTATGGTCATCAAGGTGGGGGGCACTATGGCCCCCCGGGCACGGATGTTCTGGTGCTCGACTCCCTGGCGCACCATCCCCACCT